TATATATATATATATATATATATATATATATATAGTGTGTGTGTGTGTGTGTGTGTGTGTGTGTGTGTGTGTGTGTGTGTGTGTGTGTGTGTGTGTGTGTGTGTGTGTGTGTGTGTGTGTGTGTCTGTGATGTTGTTGATGATGATGATGATATAATCTTATTGAAACTACAATATACATTTGCTACTATAAAGGAGAGGACAATCATATCTGTATCTATGTCCTGAATTTTGAAAAATGCATTCTTATTGATGAAGAAAAAGGTGCAGAAAGAAAAAATAAATCAGAAAAATAAAAAAGAACATAAAGGTGAGAGAATATACCTTCTCTAGGTTTCAGGGGAATCTACTCAAAATGTTCTTTCCCCAAGAGTTCCAATCAACTTTCATCTCCTCTCTCACTATTTCTAGTCCACTAGTTATATATTTATTAGAGAATACCGTAAAACCTAACTTCCTCCTTAAGAAATCCCAATCAATATTAAATCCCAACCTTTCAAGTCTATCCTTCAATTCTCTATAATAAAAAGGATACAAATACCCTAAAAAACTAGAAGCCCGAATAACCCCAAACTTAATTTCAACATCCTAATAAAAATAAAAAAATAAAAGAACCCAAATGGCAACACATATCCCGACTCCCATATCAGGGAATCTTATGTCCTCCCTACTATATACCGATACGATATGATTCGCAACATTGCCCGCACTCAAAGGCAATCCACAATATCATCTCCTCGATTGGGTTGAATACCCTGTCAATTCCATTTTTTAACCATTCTAACCGAGAACCCATCACTATCTAGTGAATATGCTGCTACTTTCAAGCTGGACAAGGTCCATATTTTTATTGTAACCAAACCACTTGTACAAAATCAGCAATAAATAAGAAGATATCTAAGATTTCTCATAAGGCATTCAACACCAAACTTCTCCATTGGTGGCGATTAAAAAGCTTAGACCAGGGACAACTTCATACCTGATAGGCATAGCCACACATTATAGCACCTGTTAATAACATAATACGAGACAATGCTTCCCGCTTCTATAGAAGCAAAAACAAGTCCAACAAAGCCTGAGGCTAGGAGAGCAAAGGCAGCATAGAGGGTCATTCCACGACTGCATCACATGAATAACATAATTATCAACCTCACTACTATTTCTGCAGGATTCTACAAGAAGCATGGATCTCCCAAACTGAAAAAAAATAAGTAGACTAGTGGCCAGTGGACTATGACAAAATTACAAGTCCACTAGTCATCACAATCCATTGAAATGCTGGAGTAAGGTGTGTGCGTGTACGTGTATGTATGTGTATGTAAAAGAGAGAGAGAAGGAGAGAGAGAGGAACATTGACATCACCATAATGGTTTGGCGCCAAACTCACTCCATCACCATCCAACACTTCAATGAATAGATAGCCCAATGGACTATGGTTTTTCCACAGTCCATGGGGTTTTATTACATTTCCTTAAGTGCTCACCTGCCAAAAATGTTCACCACGGATTCTTTCTTGTCTTTGTCAGCCCCAGTATCATAATCATAAACATCATTGCTGCGTAAAAACCAAAAAAGGTCCTCAGACAGCTTGAGTATTTTATAATATAATGGACTATGGAATACTCATTATTTGTTGGGTCATCACTTCCCAACAAAATGGTGGGCACAATGGAGAAAAAGTGGACTCAATGGTGGAATGGTGGGTCCAACTTCTCTACAATTTATCAATTCATTTGATGGTGAAGACTCAATGACATGGTTTATATAAAGCCCATTGGATAATATCATAAAAACAATTGTCTAGTACTTAGGGAGCAGCACGCCGCCTAGGAGGCCAGGGTGCCCCTGCTAGGCCTATGGGGCCCTTCCTGGGAGGCCGGAGGTGGCCGCCTCGGCAGGTAAGGCGCACCTAATGCCTAGAAGACTGATTTCAATATATCGTGGTTTGGAAATTGAAAATTTAGGTTTTGGAATGTGTACGGAGATCAAGTCTGTGAATTTTGAACTCGAGGTTGCAGACTTGTATTTATTCAATATTTGAGTACTTTTATTACTTCATGGATATGAACATATCAATGTCATATCTTTTAGACCTTTACTCTCAGCAAAGTTAATTTAATAGTCCATTAATACGTGACTACTGATTTGTTACAATTGTGAAATGTGATTCAATTATTTCAATGTGTTTCACAGCATTTAAGTGAATATATTTGCACATGTACAAATTTAAAATAAATATAAATTCTTAAATACAAATATGTGTGTGTACGTGTGTGCGTGTGTGTGCATGTGTATGTGTGCATGTGTGTGTGTGCGTATCTTGGTCTCAGAGAGACCCTTGGTGCCCACCAACACTTGAGCAACGTCTGGCCTTTTTTTCAACCTTGAGTTGATTATGTGAAAAATGAAAATCATATCAATAAAAGGAACCACAATGATCAACTATAGTAGCAAAACAGACATTAGATATGAATATTGATGGATTGGTTCCCTGATGTACTTTGTGGCACTGTCAACTTCTTGCGTCGCAATTAATCTCACCTCAAATTGAGCCAAGTAATGATGGAAGCTGATGCCAATAAGAGCACAAGATAGCGCCTAGCGGCAAAGAATCCAGTCAGTAAATATGCTGCTGCACCACCTACCTGTCACAGCGTTAGTGAAAATATATAGAATTAAGCATTGCTTCATTGTAGGAGGGTAGAATATCAATTTCGGAATAGCAACCATGCAAGACGCTAAAAAAGACTCACGCAGAAAATATTCATAAAAGGGACACAATTCTTGAAGTTTCTTTGTCAAATTTTTACATGCATTTATCAAGTATATATGTGAGTTCTAGGAATGGTTCAAACTGTGGTACCAAACATAAGCAACAGTTGAATCATCATAATGCAGCTTTTTAGTCTAAATCAGATTCGATGAAATAATTATGATTCTGATAGCAGCTATTCTTATCTACAGGCTGAAATATCCAGTACTGAAGCACAGGCTTATGGTTAACATAACCACAATCTAATAATATTTCACAGAAAGAAGTATGGTTCCCGGCAATTATAAGAAGGATAGTTTGCAGGAGTTCACTAAAAATGGACTTGGTGTCTTTTCCTCATAGTGGATTTTGGAAAAATATCTGCGACTTTCAACTATAGAAGATTTCAGCATCTGAATAATGCTGTGCTCACATTTCTTGTAGAGAAAAGTGCTAGCTATTATATGCAGGGGATTCAAGAAACTGTATTGATTTGGGGAATCAGTGCAATTTGGAGCAAACCATAGTAAAATAACAGTGAAGTATTCATGTTTTTGGTTGCCTATATGACAATTATAATCACAGAAGGTAACTCACAACTTACAATCTTACAAGTGGAGACCACAGGGCAATCCATAAGATTCTGAAGTTCTACAAGAAACAAAAGCCAACCCCCCCCCAGCAGGCCCCCTCTTTTTGTCTTTTTCTGTGAGGGCAATGAAGCATACTTCTCAATGTGCAACATGAGCTACAATAAGCATCATAAAGAATGGTAGTTTACCAGTCATCAATTCCACAGCTGAATTAGCATCATAAAGAATGGTAGTTTATCGGTCATCACTTTTCACAGCTACAACATAATTGCTCAGGATACTAGAGAATATCAAGGAGATGGAAAACACGGTTGGAGAAAACCAAAGATCATGAAAAGATCATGAACAATAGTTGGAACCAGTGTTTTAAAAATCGGGGAGTCGAACAGGACTCGCCTGTTTCGACTCGGGATCCGGAAGGGCCGAGCCGGTTCCGGTACAAAACCGGGAACCGCCCTGTTCTAGAGAAGAACTGCAGGTTCCAATCTGGTTCTGTCAGGTTCTACCCGATTCAGCCCGGCTCCCCCTGCACGCACGCATGCGTGCGACACGGTTGAGGTTACCCCAATATTTCTTTACAAAGATTTTAATTTATATTACCTAGGTATTGATATACCAAAGTGAAATACCCATCTTTCGATGTGGGATAATTCCCAAACATCATTAAATGAAAAGGGAATTTAAATATATTCTAGTAATCATCAAGTTACAACCACATGTGGTGAGTTGGCTTGGTGGTTAAAACTTTTGCTTCTTCATGTGATGTCTCAAGGTCGAGTCCCCCCGTGGGTGTTATTTTTTTTTGTAGTATAGTTTTTGTTATATATATTGTGTAAATATTTTTGTAAATAATATAAAAAACATAAAAAATTGAAATTTAAAAACTTAATTTTTTGTATAGTAGTTAATTTTTGTTGTATATAGTGGTATATTATTTTTTTAAATAATATGAAAGGCATAAAAAATTAAAACATAAAAAATTTATTCTATTTGAAATCTCCATCTTTCTACTAATAACATCTTTCACTAAATTTACTATAGAAACCTAAAAAAATAACTTTTTGAAAAGTTGAAGTGCTATTTCCAACATTTGTACTCATTTTATTAATTTTTACATTGATAACCAAATCTTATATTTTATTTCTTAATTTTTACATTATAAATCATGTAATGTACTATTTCTCTTATAGTCGTCAATAATACATTTTAAATTAGATAATATTATAAAATATTTTTAATTTGTTATTATTTGTCTAATAAAATAATTATAAAATGTAAACTAATAATTATAATTTCAGTATATAATATTATAATTGGTTAGATTTTAATAATTTTGGATTATAGTTAGTTAGGCTATAATAATTTGGATTTTTTTAGCGGATTAGGGTTTTTCGCCAAAACGATATTTTAATGGCCATTCTTTCATTGATTAGTCTACTCTTTATAATAGTCCATGTATAATTTTATATTTTATCTATGTTAATTCTATGATTTTTCTTTTATGTGATGTAAAT